CCATAATGCCTCCCGCTATCTCTAATAGAATTGCCTATATCATTAGTTATAATACAATTGAACAAAACAGTAAAGAACAAAACCGACAAAACCAAAACATTGGAGACATTGTAGGTCTTCAAAAGTAGATAAAAGTCAACGAGAATGGGTGTTATAATGAATCTCATTATCTTCACAGCTGACGCCTAAACTTTCGAACCTGATACTATCCAGTAAAACAGAATAGGGGAACATCAGAAAAAAACAAGATGGTGAGAGGAATACAGGGCTTCAAATCGAGATAATAGAAAGTCAAAGTGGGTTACTATAATATATCCTGCTATTTTTTTCCCTTTAATTAAACGGATAAAAAAAATAAAAAAGTAAATAATGGAGTGGAGATTGAGATAAAAGAGGGCATAACAGCGAAACAGCGCAGATCAAAACATAACCATTTAAGCAGAATAGTGTTTCACCACCAGACAATTCCGACCTAAAAGTAGTTACCATATTGACTCTTTCCTTGAAGTCCTTGAGTACAACTTCGTATACTGTAGCATTAAGTATATCAAAACAATGTAAAACCATTTAAGAGAATGACAGCATTACAGAGTATTTAGAATTGACTAACAGAAAATGAACAATGGTTTCTGTATAATCTCCTTGTCTTTAAAAGGTTTTTGCTTATACTATTGTACATAATAAAATCCAATAAGATACAACCTATTTAGACCATTGGAGACAGAAGAACAAAGGCTAGATGAGACTTCAAAACAAGATACTAAATCAGTATTACCTATTAAGATGTCATTTTCTCCAAAATAGCTGTTCCTATCATCTAATCTTCTCTGTCTCATTTCTGTTGAGCTCTTTTTCTGTCAGTAGCTGTCAGTTTGTCTTCTTCATTTTGTTCTCTGCTCCATTCGTTGTGGCCTCCCTGCCACTATTTCTGGGTTCTTTGTATTTTTCTTTTTTAAGAATATCCTGCAATACTTTCTGTAGCGTTGAATTGGTGGTTGCAAATTCTCCCAGTTCCTCTTTATCCTGGAAGCACCTTGTTTTCCCATCAATTTCCAGGGACAGTTGTGCAGGATATCTCAATCTTGGCTGGAGATTATTATCTTTCAAAGCTTGAATTATTTCCCCCCACGCTCTTCGTGATTTGATGGTTTGTGCAGAGAAATCTGCTGTAATTCTGATGGGTGTTCCCTTGTAAGTGGTCTGTTTCTTGTCTCTGGCAGCTTTTAATATTCTGTTCTTGTATTGAATTTCTGGAATTTTTATTATTATATGCCTGGGTGTTTCTCTGTTTGGGTTGTAGGTAGCTGGGGTCCTATATGCCTCATACATCTGAGTATCTTTACCTTTTGCTAAATTAGGAAAGTTCTCCTGGATTATTTCTGTGAGTAGCTTTTGTAGTTCACTTGTTTGTGTCCCTACTTCTTCTTTTATGTTCTTAATCCTTAAGTTATGGCTCCTCTTATCATCTTCTTGTCTTTGTATTATTGCTGTTTGTTTCTTTGTTATTTTTAAGAAGTTTTTCATTTCATTCTCCCATATTACAAGTCTGCCCTCCAGATCAGATAGTCTGTCCTTAGTTTCTTTCAAGCTGTTATGCCAGTCTTCGATAGACTTCTTAGTTTCTTGATAGTCCCTTTGAACCTGCTTCACGTACTCTACGCTTTCTCTGTTTTCTCCATCAAACGATTCTCCCCTCTTTTTCTGTTTTTCCATTCCACCATCTGTTTTTTCCTGGGTGGTGCTTAGCATTTCTCTAACTATTCTGCATACTTCTAGCTTCAGGTCGTTGATAACTTCATTCCTGAATTGGTCTATGAGGCTCTCTATATGGCACTTAATGTCTATTGGTGCGGTGTCCGCTATTGCCTGTTTCTCAGAATTGGGGGTCAAGGAGCCTTTCTTGTTGCTGCCTCTTCCCATATTCTCTGTTTCTCATATATGCAAGCTTATATGAGAGGCCCAGCTTCTCTCCCTGACAGCCACAGCCTGATCGAATTGCGCCAGTTAGGTGTTCTGCTCACCGCTGTGCACTAGGCAGCCTATGCGGGGCCCGCCCCTCCCGGCCACCGTCAGGCTCTGGGATCTGGGTTGGGCTAGTCTACTGGGTCTGCCGGCAGTGTCACGCAGGCCAGGCACTTTTCACCAATCCCGCCCGAGAGGGGGATGTGTGGCTGGAGTTGCCACCGCGCCCTGCTCCCGTAGGACTGCTCGGGCCCAGAAAGTCCGCTGGAGTCAAACTGTGGTGGAGTGTCAGTTTCTCTCACTCACCTCACCACTAGTCGGTGCACACCTCCCTGCCCGTCCTGTTTTCGACTCCGTTCACAGACTCCCATTCACAGAGCTTCTGCACGTCTCTCTCCTTGCCGAGCCGATGTAGAGGCAGCCAGCCACCGCGGCGGGACACCCAAATCGCGGCTTCCAATGGCGCGGGGTTCAGCCTCCACACCGAGGCTTTTCTGTTCCTGTTTTAGCACCAGGACTGCATTCCAAGTTGGTTTCTCTCAGCCCAGTTCGTTCCTGAGTCAACAGAGCATATCTCCACCTGCTTATTCTCTTTAGTCCGCACCATTCCTGGCTTCTGAGCCTAGTTTTTCAGAGAGCCTCCGGTAGTTGCTGTTATCTGTTTTATAGTAATTTTCACACAGAAACATTAATGTCATCTATCTCCACACTGACTGCTATCAAGTTATAAATGATTGCAGAACCAAAAAGAGAACCTCCTTTTTGATTAAAGAATATATTCAACTTTCTAAGATGTTTATTTAAATAGAGGTTGTCCCGCCCACTAAATAAAACTTCCCTCGGGTGGTTACATTTTGAACCCAAAACTAAGAAGCCAGCATGTAGATAGTAATAAATCTGCTGTGAGCCATTACAAGGTCAGATAGCAGGACACTGAGGAATAAGAAAGTCTAGTGAGAAGGGGACAAACACCAGAGAAACAAAACTGGGCTTTACATCAGAAGAACATTAGAATTCTCAGGAGCAACACTAGAAGCTAGAAAAAATACCTTCGAAATTCTAAAAGAAAATTATTTCCAGCCTACAACTCTGTTGAACCCAATCATCAATTAAACCTAAAGACAGAACAAGCCATTTTCAGACATGCAAGTCTTCCATATACCACATGTTGTTTCTGGGAAGATACAGAAGGCTGTGAGTGGCCAAAACAGTGAAATAAACTAAGAAAAACAGAAAGTGAGAGAGCACAAGGGACCTAGGAAACAAGAATGCAGCCAGACAACACATGAATGCAATTCCCAGGGTGTGGCAGAGACTCCAGGACAACAGCTATCAGCCATTGTAAATTTACACTGCAGCACACTGGGAAGTTCTGGGACAGACCTCTGCACAGAGAGAAAACCTGCACGACACAAATATATATGATGCACTGAAGAGAGACTTATACCACCAGTGAGGTGGATTTAGGGGTACATCTATAACAGGTACATCATAAAACTCAGCAGTTTAAAACAAAGAAAAAGGAGAAAGGAAGTCTGAAAATGTAGCTCAGCGCACAGCCCTCTCTTCACACAAGAGAGGTCCTCAGTGTGACCCCAGCATGGGGCGGCGGGGGGATGAACTACAGGAGAATAAACACAAGTGAGAACAGGAGCTCTGTGGGCTGCAAAACCACGCAGAAATCAGTGCTCACCACTGCTCACAGGCCTGCCAATCACACCTCCATCGGCGTCACACACCCTGGCCCCAAGGGCTCCTGCACTGCGTTCTCACAGCGCTGCTCCTGGAACATGCCCTCCTCAGGGGTGGGCTCAGATGGCCCTGTACATGAAACCCTCTTTTCTTACACAGCTCCCACAGGTTTTCAAATCACTGAAAACAGCTATGAGATATTCCTTTACACCTACCGACCAGCAGATGTTTAAAAGTGCCATACATCTCACCATCAAGAGGATGAACATCATCCAGAACAACCACCGTGGGACACACCTGCCAGGACCTTGTTCCCTCCCAGAAGTCTGAAGAGTCACTTCTCCTTCCACAGCCAGCATGTGTGCTAAAGGAGTACACAATAACTTTTACCACTGTAATATTTTTATAACATAGAAGCTTTTACCACTGTGATATTTTTATAACATAGATGCTGCTGAAACAAATCAAGTTTTCATTTACAGGAGAATGGCTAAATATGTTGCGTATTATTCATAAAATATCCTCAGTGGTTAAAAATGAACTAAAAAAAACTGAATGAACTACAACAACATGAATGAAAAAGCAAGTCGTTCCAGTTCCAATACCTTGTTAAAAAAAAGAAAAAAAAAAAAAAAAGAAAAAGCAAGTCACACAATAAGATTTACGAGCACATGATTCCATTTCCATAAAGTCAGAACATCAAGCTAACTATAAGTGCTCAAACTCTAAAGAAAGCAAGGGGATGAAACAAAAGTCAAGATGGTCATTATCTCGGTCATTGTCTCAGGGAGACAAAATGGCATTAGCAGACAGCCCAAAGGATTTTGGAGTGTGGGGAAGAGAAGGGGGGGGGTGGAGAGAGAGAAGGAGAGAAAGGAGTGGGAGAGAGGAAAGAGAGGGGAATCTTTCACAGTAAAAAGATTCCACAATAAAATTCTCTGATGAATAAACAGAATATGAAACTTGCATACACTTTCCACCAAGAAGAGAGTCAGTGTAAGGAGTTGCCGGCAGTCACTGATTAGTCCAAAAATCCAGAACTTAACTAGCTTAATCTGACTCAAAATTGAACACTCTTTCTAGTTACAAACCCAAAGAGCTTGGCTGACTCGTGAAATACACATATACTTAACCCTCAAAACTAAAGGGCACATAGCAGGCAGCAGAAAATGCCAAAAGCTTCCAGTCAAACTCACTGACAAAGCTGAGTAACAGAGGGTGGGGCACCGCAGGGGAAACAGACACAGGACTTGGAGGAGCCGGACAGACAGACAGACAGCAGAGCCTCAGCCTGCAAGGAAGGAAGCCTGCAAGAGGGATGCCTACTGCAGCCTCCACAAGAAGACATGGCCTTCACGGGCTCTGTGGACAAGGCTGTGAGCTCCGTGCTGTCCCACTCTTGTTACAACGAGGAGGACGTGCTTTGGTGGGGTGAGCAAGCAGGAAAAATTCCTCAACCAAGAGGCCAGTGCCCTGGCTGGCTGGAGAAGACCAGTCAGGCAGGAAAAGGTGCATGCATGATCGGAACAGGCTGCCAAGGTCTTCTACATGACTGCGCACAGGAATATGGAATGAACAGGTCCACAGGAGAATCAGTGAGGGGAGGCTCTTCCCTCTGGATCTACGCCAAGGTTTCTGGACCCACCCGGTAATCCTCTGAGTCAGAGCACAAACAGCTGCTTACCTGTGAGCAGGGTGGTAAATCGCAGTACTGATCCCATGAGGATAATGACTACTGAAGCTGAAACTGTGACTCTCTTGGTAGCTCTGATTTGTTTCAACACTAAATTTCAGAAGGTAAGCAAGAAATAAATACCATTAAACTTCAACAGACATCATTACATACCCAATACGATATCTGTAACGTGGAAGACACGTAATATCAAAGATGTAAAACAATCAGAACTCTGACAGTGTTAACATGACTGATGGATACAGCCCTGTTGGTAAAAAGTCTGGTAGTTTCTTACAAAAATAAACTGCACTGACTGTACGATTCATTGGAAGGGAAACATCAGGAGAAATGATGATATATATTCATAAATACTTATAAAGGATAGGCATAGCTGCTGTATGACAGCAGCCCTAAGCTGGAAACCTGGACATCTAGAAACAGAAAAATGGATAAACCAAACACTCAGCACTCATGTAGCCACACACAGATATCTACACATTTATTCACGGTATTCATAAAATACTGACCACTAGTAAGACAGGAATACACGACTGAGTGGCATAAACTATGGATGAATCTCAAATATTATGCTGATTAAAGGAGAGTTTACAAAAAGGATCCACATACATGATTCCACTATTATGAATTATCAGGACAGACAAAACTCATCTGTGATTTTTTTCTTTTCTTTTTTTGGTACCAGGGCTCACTTATGCCACTGAGCTAAATCCCTGGCCCTCAACTGTGATTTTTAACAAGTTTTTTAAACAGTTACTTGTTTGGGGGTAGACGTGGAAAGGGATGCTGGGAAGGAGAAGATGGAACGTCCTAGCATGGTGGCACCGTCCAGAATCCCCACAGGGGTTTTGACTGCATAAATGTACACACTGGTACTAAGTCACAACAGGTACAACTGAGATTTGTGCATTTCACAGAATATAAATTTTACCGGAAAGAAAACTCATCAAACACTGAACCCTAATTAATGATATGCATGCTAAATCTAACTGCTGACATCTCCAGCTTACTCTGAAATACATTAAAATACAAGAAGACACAGAGATGGATAAATGGTAAAAATATGATCGATAGTACAGTAAAATCCTAATTATAGAATCCAACTGGAAATACATGAGTGTTTAAGATACAATTCTTTCAACTATCAAATTGTACTTCCAACTTTTCATAACAACATGCCAGGACATAAAGCAGCACCACTAACTGATGTGAAACAGAGAAATAACACTGCACCAAATACACTTCCCAAAGCGCCTTTTACCTGACAAGGTAACTTCTGAGTTCTCCTCGGTAATTGATGACCAAGAGTTCTGCTAACCACTGCGCACTGGCTTTGTATTCTAAAAATATCAACCCGGCGATGGCACAGCTCAAATCACCAGCAAAACTCGATGCCTTTGAGAGAAAAGAAAACTGCATTACTAAAGAGACGCTCCATAAATAACGATGCACAACTGGGGGGCATGTGAAAGCCCAGTGCCAATTGCCCGGTCTACAGCAGTCCTCCCAGCTCTGGTTTTTTTAATTACCTGTAATCTTTCATTTACTCGGGCAACACCACAATACATAACTTTGAAGTAGAGGGGTAGAGAAGCACATTTTTATTCAAACCGTACATCCACTGCAACACAGACAGAACTCTCCACCCTTCCACCCTAGAGAACTCTAGAAGCAGCTTTCCAATGTCAGCATCCACTGCCAGCAGTAGTCTAAATGGAAAAGTCTTCACTTCCATTCGCCTAATCAGACGGCTGAGGACAGGGAAGCAAGAGACCTGTAGGGACGCTCACCTACCTGTCACAGCCTCTGGCCTCCAGTCACCGTGGATTCCAGAGGCAGAACCTCACAAAACTGAGGCTTCTGCAGAGGAACAGACATCTCAGAAGCCCCCGCTGCCCCTGGGACAGCCAACTCTTCCCAGGAGACACCCTACACAATGGGGACGTAGACAACAACTGGCCAGGCCCAGCCTGCCCCTCAGCCCACAGAAGCAGTCCTTCCTTTGCACGGGCCAGTCTGAGTCTTTCTCACAAAGCTGCTCCTGCCGAGACCTTAGGGCTTGCGGGGCCAAGCACATGGCACCAGCTTCCGTCTCCAGAGAGCTCCTCAGAACCTGTCCAGGAGCTGTGGAACTCCTGTAACCTGAGCCCAGATTTCTCCATGCATATTCATTTCCTGAATGAAAACCATTCTCGGAATTCCTGGCTCTCAGTATCAGAGTTCCCAGCGGAGGCCAGCAGCAGCAGTAGCAGTAGCGCAGCCTCTCTCCTCTGATTTGAATTCATCTTTATCCAGTGTAGAAAGAGTTGTGGTAGCATAAAGAGAAGCAGGCAGGTGAAATTGGCTTTCATGCACCAGAAGACCAGCAATTCCTGAATGCAGAGATTGGGGTCACTCACAGCACCCAAGTTCAGAAGCTGCCGAAGGCTGGGCAGGCCACAGTGTGGCACAGGCTCTAGGCACCTGATTTCTCAGCTCTCAGCAAGAGAAGAAGAAAGCAGAAAAGGCTGCACAGAGACCTGTCCATCCCCGTGTTCAATTTGCACAACCAGCCCTGCCCATGGCTCAGCAAGGGATAGGAACTACCGCGGGCCACACACAAGACAGGTTACACACTATGAATAGAAGCAACATAACTTCTTTTAAAAAGTACCTTTCTCATAACCCCGGCAGCGCAACCAGCAGGCCACATTCCCTTCCTCACACAAAGCACCCCCAGAAGCTGTGGGCAGGACATGCTCGTGGTCGGGACGGTGTCCCTGTGACCACAGGCTAAAGGGCAGCCATGTGTGTGAGGCCCAGCACGCAGGAAGTCAGCAAGAGCCAGGGGCTCTCAGAAGCAGCCTTCCCCTCCGCTGGTGGCCCCATCACCTGCAAATGAACACCAACTCAAAAGGGGAACTTTCCAAAAGTATCTTGCAGTTCATGCATCTTCGAGGGCTAATAGAGCAGCTGCACCTCGGACCTCGGTTCCTTAGGATGCTGGCAGGATGTGCATTCCCAGAGCGTCATTTCATAATCTGGAAATAGGGATGATACTTGAAGCTATTTAGCAAAGCTCATCAAAGATTAGATCATCACATTTCATGGTCCCCAAAGTTACCTTGAATAGCAGCAAAGAAGAGGGGGGAGATATTGTCACAGGGACTTTGGAGCTGGACCTCAGATGCCCAGTGGGTAACTAAGAACAGAATAAAGTTTGGCCTCTCCCTTACCACTCCAGAACTTGGGATCATATCCCTACAACGTTCTTTAGCCCTACATGTACCTAGACTGTCCTTCAAGACCGAGGACACCAAGATGAGAGTGATTTTCAGAATTCGGAAGGACATCCAACCACTTTTACAGAGTCCAGTTCCAAACCCCCTGGAACAATGCCTAGAAGTCTTGAGTCATTGTCCTAACTCTACAGCCACCTCAGACTGCAGGAAAAGCCGCACCTTGCACATCACCCCATGACGCTGTCACATTAGGGAGAGCAATTACACCATGCAGGGAAACAGGCTGCGTCCCAGGAGCTGGTATCTCACAAGGGAAACCAATATCCTCAGATGAGAATGGCTGTCCAAGGACCTCAGGAAACTATGTGAGCTGCCCCTCAGCCAGACCTCTGCCTCCCCACCAGCTGTGCAACGCCCCAGTAAGGGCTGCAAAACCCCAGCCCTTGCCTTTGCTCCTCTTTTGTATAAAAACCCCAAAGTTCATTTAGCGTGCTTCCCAGTATGACCACGCTGATAAAATCTTTCCAGCCCTTTACAGCTTAGGGACAGGTGGTGGGAATCCCAGCCCTGGTTCGCCCCTCACCACCCCTTTCTCCACAGCACGACTTCAGCCTGGAAAGGAAGGCTCTCTTCTGTGCTGAGGCTGCCACCCGAGGATGCGGCCCCTACCCGTGCGGTGATCAGGGCACGGCGTCGGCCCCTCCAGCCTGGCTCTTGCTGCTCAGTCCCGACAGCGGCCTGGCACCTGCACCTGCGGAGCCCGGACTCCAGGAGCCACCCGGAGGCGAGCAGGAGGCCGGCAGCGGTGGCGACGAGGAGGACCCCTCGTCGGCCAGCGAGGACGAGAGGCGCCCTGGTGGCTCCCGGCCCAGCTCTCCGGCCACCCCCGACCCCGGCCGGCGCCCCTCGCTGCTTGAGCGGCTGTCGGGGAGCAGCCTGGCCGCGCGGCCACGCGCGCTGCTGCACTGCTTCCGCCGCCACCGTGCTTGCAGCCTGAGCTCGGTGCCTGCGCCCCTGGGGCCCCTGCCACCGCCACCACCGCCGCCTCCACTCAGCCCCACGCTGCCCCCGCGGCCCGCCACGGCCGGCGCCATGGCCCCGCTGCGCAGCCACAAGCCCACGGGCGCGGTGAGTAGCGCGCGGCCGCGGTCTCGGTTCCTTCCGCCCCGTCTCGGGAGCCTTCGGCCTAGAGGTCCCAGCTCCGGGCCGTCCGCTCGCGGCCCGGGCTTCGCCGCCGGGTTCGCAGGCAGGAGCGGCTCCTCAATGCGCAAGGGCACAGCTGCTGGCCTGACCCGTAGCGGGTGCTCGGTGAACCTCTGTTAAGGAAAAAAGCCACAGATCCGGGGCTTTGCGGGCTGGCCAGGCTCCTGGAGAACGTTCCGGGTAGTGCGACTTCCCGCCAGAAACCTAAAGACGGAGATAGCAAACCTCAGCACAGGACCCAGCACCAGACCGGCGTCCTGTGTGGAGAGAAGGCCAGGCTGCCCGGGATGGGGCGGGTGTCACAGCCCAGCCAAAGAAGCAGCAGCCTCAAGGCCCTCACTTTGTCCCTTCCAAGGCCCTGTCCCCAGTCTTGTGTTTATAGCCATGTGTCCTTCTTTAAGAGATCCCCTCTAGATTGTTTAAGCAGCAGGCTCAATAAAATCTGGATCCGTAGCAGATGGTGTGGGACAGGATGGGTAGCAGAAGGTGGCACTTGGGCACAGCTTTCTGTCCTGAAGTTGGGCCAGGAGATGCTACTGAATAAGGCCGAGGTGGAATTAACCAGAGACAGACTGGAGGCCCCTGACCTTAGACAAGTTGTGGGTGCTGATGTTCTCCACCCTGGGGTGGGGCAGGGTGGAGGACCTCTAAGGTGGAGATGGCGGGGGAACTCATGCCCACATCCACACACTGCTCTGGCTTTCCTTGGGAGGAGGGGCCAGGGCTGTGCTTAGGGTTTTGCTGGCCTGTGTCCAGAAGCACCCCAGCTCAGATCTCACTAAAAGTAAGATAAGGAACCCCTGGGGTCAGGGCCAGGCCCCACATGTGTACTGTGGCTCAGGTCCTTAACTTGTCTGAACTTTGACCTCCATATCAGTTAAACAAGATAATAGGATGGTTCTATCCTAATTCTTGGGAATTTTTTCCTTCTTTCTTTTTGTGTAGGGGAGGGAAAACTGGGTCACATCATATTGCTCATGTTGGTCCCAAACTTTGGGGCATCCAATGATTCTCCTACCTCAGCCTCATGAGTAGCTGGGAGTGCAGAGTATGCTATCATGCCCAGCTTCCTGTTACATTCATTGGCAGTGTTCAAAGCAGTACGTGAAACTCGGCCTCACCAACAGTGCCTTGTATCCACTGCTTTACTGCTCTTCCTGCCCCTCGCCCGTTTGCTCCCATCTCAAGCCTCCTAACAACTCTGTAGGCTGCATGAGAGATACTCATTTTGCATAGGAGTAAAGTGAGTGATCCAGGGAGATGGGGAGCTGGAGTCTGCAGGACTCAGCTCTCAGCAGCACCAGCGCCACACTCTGTATAGAAGGTAGTACTGGAAGCCGCTTTTTCAAATGTCCAGCCAGGCCAGCATCTCCTGTGCTAACTGATGCACCATTCTCTGTTTCAGTCCCTCAGCCCGTATACCTGCCTGCCGTCTCTTAGGGAGACACCCCAGCCTCTCAAGCCCTGCAGATCGCACCCTGATTCTGCAGCTGACCTGCTGTCCGCCCTGAGTCAGGAAGAACAGGAGCTCATCAGGCCTGTGGTCACCCTGGGATACCCCCTGGCCAGGGCCATCACAGCTCTTCAGAGGACGGGGAGACAGAGCCTGAGCCAAGTGAGTAGGAGCTATGGCTGGGGTGGCTACAGCCGAGCCAAGCAGCTGTGGGGCTTTTTGCCTTTAAGTTAAAGAAGACTTGTTCCTTTCTTTTTAGAGGTGTAAATTACTGGGGTTTGCAAGCAAGTTTCTAGACCCTTCGGATGCTTCCCCTGCAGGAATTTATCAGTGGTTCCCATGCCCACTGGCAGAGGCTCAGTACTCTACCCTTGTCCAGTTCCTGCTCCAAATACAGGGAACTGGAGCTTTGGACAGTTTGAAAGCTCTCCAAAATTTATTCTAGAGAACTTATTCTAGTGGGTTGCTTGTTTGCAGTACTGAGGATTCAAACTAGGGCTTTTGCCTTGAGCTATATCCCCCTCCTCTTACTTTTTTTTTTTTTTAACATTATGCTAGGAGCCAGGGATTTAACCCAGCAGCTCAAGAGTTTGCCTGGTAATCGTGAGGTTGCAAGTTTGATCCCTAGTAAAAAAAAAAAAAAAAAAAAAAAAAAAAAAAGGATGTAACATTAACATAGGATCTCACAGAGTTGTGAAGTTGCCCAGGCTGGGACTCCAACTTGCAGTCCTCTTGCCTCAGTCTCCTTGGATGCTGGGATTACAGGCATGCGCCACCACACAATACAACACAAAGTCTGTGTTGTCCAATATAGTAGCTTCTACCCATATGTGGTTATTTTCAATCTGTGATTAAAAAACTGAATTTTAAATTTTATTTAGTTGTCATTAATTTAAATTCAAATTCAAATAGCCACATTTAGCCAGTGGCGACCATACTGGGGAGCACAGCTCTAGCCACTCCCCTCAGGGAACAGTTTCCCCACATTGTCTCTATCTTTCAACTGCCCACCTACCCCATTAGTCCTAACTATTTACTGGGTACTTCATGGGGTGGGCCAAGAGCTAGGGGGAAGCCAAGGCACATCTAGCCCTGCATGGTAAGCAGGCTTTCCTGGAAGCAGGCACAGGTGGAGTTGGGCAGACAAGATGTTAAAGAGACCCTCAGGACCAGACCTGAGGAAGAGAAGCCAAAGAAACATCCACCAGCCCCTCTATTCCAAGGCCCCTTTGGCCCCTGAGTGTCTTGAGTGGGCTGACATCGTGGTTGGACCTTTACACATCTACTTCAGCCAGCGTTTGCCTGTAGAAAGGGGTGACCCGAGGGACGCAGGTCTCTATAGCAAACTCAAAACTTTAGTAGCTCAGCACAAGAACCATTTATTTGCTCGAGATACTCTGAGTTGATAGTCAGGGTCGGACACAGCTAGGTGGTTCTGCTGGTCTCACTGTGGCTGCAGGTGGGCAATTTAATCAGAACCTTACTGATGGCCCAGTGGTGGTGGAATTTGTCATCTAGGCCACATGGCTGCAGTCCAGTTTGGTTCCAAGAGAGCACATGTGAAAGCTGCAAGGCCTCCCGCAGCCTCTGCTGCACTGGGACACCATCGTTTTCATTGTACCCGGTTTCTCAGAGCATGTCTTAGAACACCCCAGACAGACTCAAAGGGAGGAAAAGGAGACTCTGCCTCTGGATGGGAGGGACCGTGAAGAATTTATGGCCATCCTCAATGGGCCACGAGGAGGTTCCAGAGTTCAGCAGAGGCTTCTGTGGGTGCCAAGCTTTGAGCTGGACTTCGAAGCCAGATTAAACTGACTTTGATGTAAGGAAAAAGGACGATTTTCCAGGCGGGACAGACAAGTAAATGGAGGGGCAGGGACGGGAAGGAGGAGTTTGAGAGGCCCCGATCCAACAGTCTTTTGGAGGCGAGGATGCAGGAGACAGGCTGTGGGAAATGACAGAAGGGGACTCGGGAACAGACTGAGGGCTGGGCTGAGAATCTGATAAATGACCCAAGGTACAAGGGAAGCATGGTAGGTTGGGGGTGGTGGCATGAATGCCACTGCCCAGCCCCCTACCCCAGTGTGACATTCCCTGAGCATCGGATTGGACAGCAGTTCCCAGGGCAGTTGGCATTTATTCCTTTTTTTCCTGTCTCTGTCCCCACGTCAGAGGGCTTGGGCACCTTCTCCGCAGTCTCACCCTCTAAGGGCTGAGGTGGAGCCTGCTCTGGGGAGGGAATGGCAGGAGTGGGACTCTCATGCTGCAGCCAGAAGCAGGGTGCTGCGGCCAGGCTGGGGGGCAGGGTCATGCTCCTGAGCTGACCCTCCTGCTTCTGCTCTACCCCAGCTCTTCAGTCTGTGTCTTTTGCGGGAGGAGAAATTTCAGCATGGGCACCCAATGGCTACCCCGAAACTCTCTCTGCCCCAGGCCCTAGCCTGAGAGCATACAATTAGGTCCCCTTCTTTCCCATTCTGCAAGGTTGCTGCACTGTTACTGCCCTGAGCACTTTGCAGAAAAAAAAATGAAGACTAGGTAGGTTCAGCTGACCAGACAGGGGCAGCCCCAGGGCCGGTGTGACCCGGAACCTCTGTTACACAGTGCTTTTCTCCCAGTTCCTGTGTGAGAACTCTGAGGACAGCAACCCAGGCTGCTCTTAGATTTACTATATATATATATATATATATATATATTTTTTTTTTTTTTTTTTTTTTTTTTGTCTTTTTTGTTTTTATCGGTACCAGGGATCGAGCTCACGACTGCCTGCTTGCAAGGCAGGCGCTTATGCCTCTGAGCTAAATCCCCAGCCCCTGCTCTTAGGTTTAAGACCAACTCAGCCCCCAGCTGCAGCTGGGGAGCTTGGCCAAGAAGCACGTCAGGAGGCTGAGGGGCCAGGTCCACTAGGGGGTGCCAGTGAGCCCCCCAATCCCTTTGGGCCTGGTAAAGCTACAGTCATGGCCCATCATGGCCAGGTCTGAATGCAAGTCACAACCAGGACAGGGCAGTGGCCTCCCTGGGGTGATACCAAGGGTCTCTGCAGTGGGGACACTGTGTTCCCAGACAGAGACTTGCCACCTTTGTGGCATCAATAGGTGATCTTCCTCCCCAATGGACAGTCATGGGGTGGCCCCAGGGGCCCTGCCCCCCCCCATTCCTCTATCCTCCCTTCAACCCCTCCTTTGGATGCCTTCATCTCCCCTCCCTGTTCTGTGAGGTTCCCCCATCATCTGAGCTATTGCTTGGGGTTCAGATTGCTTCCCCATGACAGATAAGCCATAGGCTGTACACCGTGTAATCCAGCAGTCTAGGAGGTTGAGGCAGGAGGATCACAAATTTGAACCTAGCCTGGGCAGCCTAGTGACTTAAGGAAACCTTGTTTCAAAATAAAAAAGGGCTGGAGATGTAGCTTAATGTGAAGACCCCAGGTCCAATCCTTAGTACAGAAACAAAAACAAAAACAAAACAAAACAGAACAGAACCACCAGATAACCTAAGGGAGGGCACTGGTGATGGAGTCAGTGGAGAAGAGGAAATGCAAAAGCTAGGTTTTGTGCATTGCGCTGTCCCTCCTCCTACAGGCTTGCTCTGCCCATTGCCTGGCGTGGACGAAGGTCCATGGCAAGGCCCAGACTCGCCAAGGGAGCCCAGACACAGCAGGGCCCCTCTCTGGGGGTTCCCCACTCACAGGACAGAGGAGGAACTGGGCATGGGCCTCGAGACTCTCTCACCCACCCTGGGTCCCGAAGCAAGCCGGGGAGCTTCTGCAACCCTGTAGGCCCCAAAAGCAGTCGGAGCAGCAGAATCTTTCCAGATGCAGATCCCCAGGCCTGCCCTGAAGGTGGTGCTGATATGCAGCATGGCTTGGTGTCACCTGTCCCTGGAGCCACATGTGAGGATCACCTGAGAATTATTAACACCACCCAGTGTCCTGGCCACAGCCTCAGGAAGTGAAGGCCGTGGTTTTCCAAGCATGCACGGTGGTTGCCGTGCACCCCAAGGTTGAGAACCAGCACAGTGATAAGCCAAAAGCTAAAGGAGCGTCCACTGCCCAGCCCTGCCCTCTCCACCCTCCTCCAGGCCTGTCCACTGTCCCCCTGCAGGACAAGGCCCTAATTAAGTGAGAGCTAGCCCAGCCATCGTCCTGGAATCACCTGCCCTGTCTGGACCTCTGTTTCCTCCCCTGAGCAGGGTGGTTTGGGTGTGTGTCTTTTAGTGTGTGCTCAGAGCAAGGTCCTGGTGACCCAGGCTAATCCTCTGGTCAGTGCGCTAGCCTTCATCTCCCAGCCTGCCCATCCTGCCCTCTGCACGCTCTGAAGGTCTGCAGAAACCTGCCCTGCTCCATCTCTGCACACAACCCTAGCTCCCCCAGTCAGGAGCCGTCCTCTGGCAGACTCTGGCGCAGCCGTCCTCTGTAAATCCTGCTTTGATTCACCTGGCCCTAGTGTTGTCTTGCATCTGATTTATCTCTCACGCTAAGTTGTAAGTTCCCTCAGGGACATTCTTAATTCATTTCATAAAGGCAGCATTGGCTGTTGTAAGACCCCTTCCAGCTGCCATGCTGAGACCAGGGACACAGGGGCAAGGGATGCAGCTGTGGGGTAAACCAAGCAGCCCCTCTCAACTGGAGCAGCAAGCACAGGTGGAGAAAGAGGAAGTGGAGCAATAACAGGGCTGTGCTTGCCATGCAGGGAGCTCGGGGTGCCCTGGGAGCAGCAGGGACACAGCCAGTGGAGACCCATGTGCCAGAGGCTTCCGGGGGCTGGCGCTGGCCCTGGCCTTTCAGCATTCATCACCTTTACCTGCTGTCTCCTGAGGGTAAAGGGGCCCTGGTGATTTACACAGGGAATAGCACCCAGGATTTGGGCCCACTGGGCCCCTCTCCTGCCCCCATCCCTTTCCCAAGCTGTAGAGGCTCAGGAGGGTTCCCGGGAACAGATGTGTCTAGTGAGGGGTGGAGGTCCTGACGCAGCAGGTACTCACCAGGAGAGGGCAGTGTGTATGTTTGATCGCAGGAGGTGGGGGGCTCCCCACTCCCATGGCCCCTTTCCTGGATTTCATCCTTCATTTTGGGACAGCGGTGGGGGATGTGGTCCACTTGTTCCCAGGTCTAGGCCTCTCCTCAGGTTGTGTGGGCTCTGGGGCTCTCTGGGCCCGGTAGCATGTGGGGCTTTGCTGGCCCACCTGGCCCTGAGTTCAGAGCACACCCCACTGCTGCTCGTTGGTGCTCTGTTACCATCCCATCCCGTCTGCCTCTTCTGTCTAGTTTCTCGGCTACCTCAGCGCCCGGGAGAGGCTGCTGCAGCAGGGCTATGAGGAGGCCCTGGTGGACGAGGCCATGGAGCTGTTCCAGAACTCTGAAAGCAAGGTCAGCGGGGACGGCAGGATGGGGATAATGGCGGTCCCCAGAGCGGCCGCAGTAGGATAGGAGATGAAATGTGGACAGAGGTGGGAAACAGAGCAGGCAGCAGGAGAGGGGCAGCTGGAGGCCAAGTTTCAGGCTGGAAGCTGGTCACTGGGCTGGACAGGGTCCTGGGGCTCCTTATCCTGCACCCACGCCCAAGTACAGGGGTTGGGAGGAGCAGGAGGTGGGGGCCAGGCCAGGCCAGGCCAGAGCCTTCTGTCCTGAGCAGAGTCAGGGAGGTCAGAGGCCTCATCACCCTGGAGGTGCAAGACCACTTTAGGGGCCACCCAGCCTGGTCTATGAGGCCACAGCTTCCTGGGTGGAGGAACAATGGGCACAGGGACAGGGCACTCAGGGACCCAGCTGTCCCCACCCCCTCACAGGCCAGGGAGTTCCTGCGCCTCTGGGAGCAGTTCAGCGACATGGGTTTCCAGCCGCAGCGGATCAAGGAGGTGCTGCTGGTACACGGCAACCGCCATGAGCAGGCCCTGGAGGAGCTGGTGGCCGGCACCCAGTGACTGTGAGGCCACTGGCCTGTGTCCTTGAAACCCAGCCGGAGCCACACAGACAAAGCTATGCACGTTCACTATAAAAAACAAACAGTCCCAAGGCAGGGGAAACACTGAGGTCAGCTGGCGGCGCTCCAGGAGGACTAGGCAGGGGCCAGTGAGGTGGGACTGAGCCTTGCACCCTGCCTGTGTTCCATGTGTACCCTCTGTGTTAATAACTTTGCTGTTGAGAAAATTAAAACAATAACAGTAGCAACAGAATGACGGGCAGTTCTTTTGAGTCCTGTAGGCTGCTGGTCTTGGGATGGAAAATATATCCCCACTGAGCCTCAGAAGTTCCGATTTGGGTTCTGTGGATGTCGAGCTCAAGGGCTCTTTGGGTCTCCATGTCCCCAAAGGAAAAGCAGAAAATCTGATGAAGTCAATGTTTGACCTGGCCAGTGCCCATCAGATACTCTGACTCAGAAAGCACAGCATGGTGGCCTCCTGGGTGTTCTTTCATTGGTTCTTTAAGACACAGTTTCATTGGTGTGGGACGATGAAGGCAGTCCTCCTGCCTCAGCCTGCCAAGTATCCGGGGACTACAGGTAACAAGCTCAGTTTGTTTTATATAACGGGTTCTCTGGGGTTCTTTACAATGGCACAGGCCCAAGGCCAGTGAGTGTGGCCTTCTGGACCAGCCAGGCTAGGCCCCCTTCTGCCCTGACAGTCCAGCCCGAATGTCCCCTTTCATCTTCTGGGAGGTGGGGAGATTAGGACCAGGTTGTCTCCAGCTGCCCCACATCTGTCTGTTAGAGGCCCCCGGGGGAGCCAAAGGGTAACTTGCTGAAGCAGCCTAGAGGTCAGAGGCCAAGACATGGGTGCCCCATTTTTTCTAGTCGCCCCACGGCAAGTGGAGTCCAGGCTTCTCAGCCACTTGCAGGCAAGGCTGTATTTGGTGCTGTGAAACCACAAATAGAAACACTCACGTTGCTCAGAGCTCAGAGGCTGGGTCTGGCGGTGTCTCGGAGACTTCTGCAGCCCCCATAAGAAGTCTGGGACTGGGCCCAGTTCCCTAAGCCCCATCACACCACTAAGCCCCAGTATTCTTCGGCCTTCAAATCACTTTAAATCAATGCACTTTAAGGTGATGCAAAACTGAGAAAATCAGCAAGATGGCACAAAGTTGGGTCATGTGTCTATTGCCAAAAATAAAGCTAGCCTTGGAGAAGATGATTCAATTAGAGTTCAGTTTCTAAGATGCAGTTTTAGGGTCAAAGTTATTTCGGTTCTGATTAAATCTACCTGGCCTTAGTCTACTGCTTTATTAAGTTCCTTGCTGTAGAGGTGCCCAGTTGTCAAGCCCTCACCCATTTAACCACTCCCATCTTCTCCCACCTACACCAACCTTTCCATCCTGAGACAAGAACTATTTGCTTAAGGATGAGACAGCAGACCAGGCATGGTGGAGCTTACTTGTAATCCAAGCACTTGGGAGGCTGAGGCAGGAGGATTGCTGCAAATTCAAGGACAGCATAGCCTTAAAAAAAAAAAAAAAAAGGAGAAAAGAAAAAAATTCCAGGCAGCAATGAGCAGATTGTTAATTTAAACATGTTTTAGGAAGCAGAATAATGTAGTTTAGAAGCATGGACCCTGAAGTTAGATCTGGGCTGAAGCTGTTGCCTATCACTAACCAATCTGGAAAGTTCCAGCTCCTTTGTGCCTTACTGATTCGTAAAATACTGATACTGAGACTTTTCCATTGTGCTGGGTGGAACAGCACCCGGGAAGCTTGTGACACTGTCTCTGTGAGCATTTGGACCGCTCCTCACTGTGTGTGATCACTCACTCTGACCATCAACTTCATCATCCTTACGGCTGACAGACCTCCAGCTGGTACGGTGGGGATTCTTGGTGTCCCCCAGGCTCCTGTGTTGAAGGCCGCTGGTGGCAGCGCTCCTGGGAGATGCAGAATCTTTAAAAGGTTGGCGGGAGGAGGTGGGTCAGGGTGTGCAAGCCCTTGGAGGGCTGTTGGGACCCTGCCCCTGCTTCCTGCTCTCCACACCCTAGGCTGCAGAACACGCTGCTGAGCAACCAAGGCCTCAGGATCTGTGGGTGACAATTCTCCTTCTCTCCTTCTGAGTTGATTTTCTCAGGAAGCTGACCAGTCTCCCTGGCTTTGAAGTCAAACTCAGAGCACCTGGGGGAAGCTCTCTGCGCCACCTGGAGGAGCAAACATATCCACAGGCTCCTGCAGGGCTCAGGTGGCTCCAGGAAGCAGCTGTGTGCAGACGCGGTGGCAGCTCTCGAGGCTTGGGCAGGGCGCTGGATGGCGTGGCCCCCACTGTTGCCTCTTCTGGCCTCCAAGCTGAGCCTCGATGCCCTGCTTCACCATGAGGCAGCCTTCCGCAGTGGACGACGTCCTGGAGGGGCTGTCAGGCCAGGGTGGGAGGGGGGACATGTGCTGGGCTCAGGCAGTCTGAGGTCAGCGGAGGAGTTGGGGGTCTGCACCTGCCTTGGAGAGCACTTGTTTGCCCACTTGTCTACTGGTGACCCTGCCCCTGGCCTGTCTGGGAGGGCTTCTCCACTGACCTCTGCACTGGATAGGCAACCATGCTTACCTTAGACATTGGCTCAGGGAAGACTTGGGTGTCTTTCCTCACAGGGTTGGGAGGCTTCTGGGCCCCCTCTTTAGGCCAGCAACTCCCTCATACACCTACTCACCCCCAGATCTTGAGGCCCAGACTTTGTCTTCCAGATGCCCCAAGGCCCCGTGGAAACTCCCTGTCTCTGTCCTGCCACAAAGCCACCTTCAGCTCCTTCATGTGGGGAGAAGGTGACAGTGAACAGGCCAAGATCCCACCCCGTTACCAGCTGTGCCTACTCAGCCAACCCCTTGCTTGCTAACACCTGCTCCGAGCTCTGCTCTGTCCTGGGGAGAGGCGACACCACCCAGAGATCCAAAAGCGCCGGCCCAGATATTGACACAAACACAAACCAGTGCCTGATTCTCCCACCCAGCAGCCTTGGTGGCACCGCAGACCTGCTGGCCCGGGAGTGGCAGAGGAATCACAACAGGAAGTGGCCTGTGCCCTGGAGTGGGTTCCCCAGGCTGGGCCAGGCAGGTCGGCGCTGGGGCCAGGATGACAGCGGGAAGGCAGAGGGACTGGCAGTGCTGGCCCTGGTTCCAAGGCCCTGGAGGGGGCACACAGCCAGCTCCCCCTGCAGGATAGGCCTGGCCAGGCACCCCTGCCAGCTCCATACCCAGCCCTGCAGTGGGGGGCCCAACCCCCTTGCCCCCCCATCCCCTGCCGGTGGCCCTCCCTCCTGCCATTCTCCTCCTGAACCTGTCCTTATAAGGCCACCCACTCAGAGACGTGAGTTCCGTGTCCTCTGGGCAGCTGCCCACACAACGTCACCGGCTATTTAACTGCTCAGGACTCTTGTGACTTTTTATTTATTTTTTGTCATTAAGAAAATGTTTCCAGATTGACTGTGCAGGGTGGTGCATGCCTGTCATCCCAGCCCAGGAGGCTGAGGCAGGAAAATCGCCATGTATTTGAGGCCAGCCTGGATTACATAGTGAATTCATGGCCAGCCTGCACTGGAGTGAGACCCTGACTTAAAAAAAAAAAAAAGGTTTCCAGATTGAGCAGAGACATTAACTGGGTGTCAGATGAAGGAAGAAAGATGGAAGCCAGAGAATAGGGGAGCCAGGGACCCCAGACATGCCAGCCTCAGACCATAGGCTCAACACAGATTCCAGATGCCCAGCAGCCAGGCGAGCCCACGGGCTTCAGCAGCCCCTTGTTCGGTTCCCAGTGTGTTGGGGACGCCCGTCGTCCTGCTAAGGACTGTCTTCATGTACTGTCAGAGTGCCTGTCCTCCCAAGAGAGGGCACATGTCACCGCTCAGGGCCAGTCTGACTCTAGCTGTAACCTTGGAACCCACACTTGTCCTGGCTGTGGCTTCTGAGGAGCCTGCCCCAGCCAGTGCTCTGTCCTTCTCAATGAGCCTAAACCACCTGGAGTCCTTGTGGCAGATCCCACCCATCACTTTGCCAGGGCTGCTGCTGCCTGCTGAGCTCAGCTCCCTGCTGGCTACAGCGAGAGACTTGGGCAGAGAGGGAGGGTCTCCGTCTCCGGCCAGGGGAAGGGAGTCCCGTGGAAGCTGCCTGCCACAGTGGGTCTGGAGGTCATGGTGCTCAGGGCACTGTCACCACCTCTCAGGGCTTGTGCTGAGGGCTTCCCCAAGGTGAGGCTGGGAACAGCGGATGCACTCTGTAAGTCCTCCACCCCAAGCTGGACATAGCTTGTAATGAAGAGGGGACACACAGAAGTGTTTACTGGATGAAAGAGAACAGGAAAAGGCTGGGAGAGCACCATGCTTACAGGGAACAGATTTCCAAAGCGGTTTCCCTGACTTCCCAGGTGAAAGACCCACCAGAGAGTGTGATTACCCGTGCTGCTTAGTGGCCAGACCTCAGCACCCAGAGAGGCCAGACGGCCAGGAGCAGCGTGAACAGAGGCCCAGGGTGTCCTGGCGTGAATCCGCACAAGGCTTCCCACACCATGGTCAGCACACCTTCTACACGGCGGCAGGGCTGAGCAGAGATGAGCCACGATCACTGTCCCCAAGTGGTCAGTAGAGGCTGGGCTCTGAGGACAGCGTGGTGCTGTGGCTCAGGGAAGCAGTTAGCCCTGTCCCTATAATGAAGGACTTTGTTCTGTCATCCCAAACCCCGCCTTATGGGGGCAGGTGGCCAAGGAGATGGCCTGTGACCGTGCTAACTGTTTGGGGCGTTAAGCGTAGGAGGCCACTCAGAGAAACTGTTTGAGCTCCTGGGGCCGCGGGGCCCTCAGTGACAGCCTGAGGGAAAGACACTTCCTCCACTTCTAGCTCTGCAGGCAGATGGGAGCACCCCAGAGGCTGTCCCTTCGCCCAGCATGTACCTCCCCTGGCTCCACCAGGGGAAGCACTGTCCTGCACCCTAAATGAAGTGGGATCAGGGCTTGAGCCCACAGGAGGAATAGTGGGAGCCTCCTTTCTGGGGTTCCCATGTGTGCCACAGGGCCAGACTGACTGCTACGGCCAGGCCCATCCGTGGCTCCTCTCCAGGGACAGAGATTTCTGGGTTACTGACCTGGGCTGGGCTCTGATTGTCCCAGGCTCCTTCTATACACAGTCACATGGTCCCAAAAGCCCTTGGAGTTCAGGTGCGATGGTGCCCACTGATGATGCCTGCCTGAGCAAGCCCCAGGGAGGTTAAGAAACTGCCCCAG